CGACAAGGGCAAAAGCAAGGTGCTAACTTGCATGGTACGTCGCGGACCACCTCGCCCAAACAGACACTACCGTTTCTTCCGTAGCTGGGAGGACATGTTCGCAGAGCCGCCGAAGGAGTGACCCGAAGGATCAGTTGAAGACGAGGAAGAAAACGATCCAACGTACGACGAGCTGACAGTTGGCCGGATGGATCACGACTGGATAATGCCACAATGGATCCAGGAGTCACCACCTGCACGCATCGCCTACGACGAAGAAGGCTGTTATTATGACTACGAGAATGAGCACGACATGGAACATCACATCACCCCAAAACTCACCAACCTTGCTAAGACGAAGAAGGAAGTCAACAAGTGGTACCTGGACAGCTGCTGTGGTCAACACATGGTATCGTCAAACATCTTCATCCTCAACAGTGAGCAGCTCTTCAACGAAGTAGAGATCATTGTTGCCAACACTCAAACCATCTACGCCAGAAGCCGCGGACAGATCCAGCTGGAGTCGCACGACACCGATTACTGCATCCACATCAGCGATGTTCTCGTCGTGCCCGAACTCCGGTACGACCTCCTCTCCCTCCACCAGCTGATGAAGAGCGGAGTCGGCTTGGAAACAACAAAAGACGAGATGCACTTAATATACAATGAAATCTTCATCGGAAAAGCGACAAGTGTGGAAGGAGTGTTTGTACTCGACTTCAAGTCACCCAAGACCACTGGTGACAACGAATACATCCTCGTCCTTGATCCGCCGGGCCACCCGTCACCACCCAGGTGGAGCCATCCAGAAGAAACTGACTATCAGCGACCCGGCCCCGACGGCTCCTTCCGCGCTCTTGCCGTACCGGTCACCTCAACCACGAACCCTGCGGACACGGGACCACAAGCGGTGGAAGAAGGAGAGGAGGCCACATCAAAGACTGCAGTCGCATAAACTGAAACAACAATCACGGAAACTATACGACCACCTTGGCCCACCGTCCCGCAACCTATCGGCTGGAACACCACCGAGGGCTGGGACGCTGTGGATGTACGTTGGGTCATGGAAAACACCGCACTGGCAGAAGCCACTGCAGCCGAAACCGGATGGGGAACCGTCGGAGAACCTGCAGCAGAAGAAGCAGGGTCAGTAAAAGTACCAGAAGTTGCTGAGGAAGCACCAGAAGCAGAGGAAGAGGAGTGCTTAACAGAGTACGGCCCTCACCTCATTCCCATCACGATGGACGGCAGAAACTACCTCCGCATCGAGACAAAGGGAGCGGCAATTGGCGACGTCGATTTTGACGAAATCACACAACCAGAAGACCGTCACCCACGAATCACGCCAACACCTTCCGAAGAGGTGCTGGAGCTCTCGGTGACAATCGACACCATCACCATTGGCGACACTAGCGAAACGTACAACGGCGCAACACTTCGAGCAGCAGCAGTTCAAGTCACCGTTCCAGACGAACCTGTGGAGCAAGCTGGGAAAGAAACAGCAGCGGCAATATTAGCACGATAAAAAGAGCTTTACGCGCGAACCAAGGGTTACCGTGCCGATGGAGACATCTGGCGTCAACGCATGGGGCACCCATCGATTGAAGTGCTCAACAACTGCATCAACGCAAACATCTTTGCGGCAGATGCACTGTTGCTGCCAGATGGCAAGGTCCTCAGACCAAGGACTGACTCACCCAACTGCACCATCTGCCCAGAAGCAGCGCTGCGTCACACGCCCTTCGCTGAGAAGATCCCTGGAGCCGAACGTTACAAACCGCTGGAGACGGTCTACAGCGATTTTTTGGTGCTCACGGCGAAAGGAGTTGGAGGGGAGCAGTACACACTCACCTTTATCGACGCCGGTACTCGCTTCGTTTGGGCCGTCAACATCAGTAACCGCTATCTTGCCTACCAGTGCTTCAAAGTCTGGGTGAACTTGGCGGAGAATCAGAGTAACAGGGACAAGCTGAAGGCATTTAAGACAGACGGAGCCCTGGAGTATCAGACAGAGGACTTCAAAACCCTCTGCAAGCAGAAGGGCATCAAAAGGATGATCTCGCTCCCCTACGCCCACGACCAGCAGGGATTGGCCGAGCGAACCAACAGGAGCCTCGCGACAAAAATGCGAGCTCTCATGAAGCAGTCAGCTGTGCCAACCAAATATTGGCCCTTCGCGATGGCGCATGCAGTTCGGCTACACAACATGCTCTCCTCAAAGGCACTGCCCAACAACTGTTCACCTTTCAAGGAATGGACCGGAAAACACCCCGACACACGCATGCTGCGAGTTTTCGACTGCATGGTACAGTACCGACCCCACACCGCCCGGTCAGGAAAATTTGAAGACCGTGCCCGTTGGGGCATTCACCTCGGAATCGCATCTGAATACCACGCCTGGACAATTCTGGACTTCGCCACCCACCAGCTCACGCGTTCACGTGACTGCATCTTCTACAAAAGGCTGACCCTGCCACTGTACCGACAGCACCGCACTGCACAAAACGCACCAGACAACAATTTCAAGGACAGCAAAGTTTCGCCAACGACGAGGACGACGTCGACGTGGCAGGCGAGCAACCAGCCGAGGTCACCGAGGATGAGGCACCCTTTGTACCCGTTACGGAGGCGTTCGGAACACCCACGTTCTTCCCAACAAACACGTTCGGAGTACAGGCTTAACTCGATTACGCAAGCGCAGAAATGCACTCACCCATAAACGAAGACCCAACTCGCGATTCCTGTCGCGACACCGTTTGCAACATCCCTGGCGACGACGACGACGTGGTTGAAGTAACCAACGCAGCTGAATCCAACCTCACAGGTCTTCGCATCCTTGGACTCGTCGTCGCCATACAGGGTAACCAGCAACTGGTCGAGCCCACCACTGTGTGACAGGCACTTAGCGGGCCCGATGCCGAAAAGTGGAGAGCCGCCATGAGCAAAGAAGTCGCTGCCCTTCAGCGGCGTGGAACCTGGAAGCTGGTCCCACGACGACACGCGAAGGGGAGAAAAATCCTCACAGGGAAATGGGTATTTCGGATCAAGACCCTCGCGGAAGGCACTTTTGACAAATACAAGGCGCGTTGGGTCGTCCGCGGGTTCGAGCAAACTCAGTTCATCGACTACAATCAGACATTCGCACCTGTCGGACGCCACACTTCTGCGCGCATTCTTCTCTGTATCGCCGCCGCCAAACAGCGCCCTCTGCGGAAGATCGACGTCTCCAACGCCTCCCAGAGCGCCGAAACTATCCACCTCTCTGCCGCGAAGTACGCCGAGAGCCTCGCCAAGAAATTCGAGATAGCCCCCATCGGCGTCACTACCCCGTTCCGCTCTTCCCTCCCTAACCACGAGCCCGACACCACTCCACTCTCACCGGCTGATCACCACCTCTACCAGCAGCAGCTCGGGTGTCTACTGTTCGCCGCCGTCACATGCCACCCGGACTTATCCTACATCGCCAGCCAGCTCGCCCAGTACCTGCGCCGACCTGAAGGGGAGAACCTGGCGGACCTGCGCCGCGCTTTACAGTACTTCATCTCCACACCCGATGTCGGCCTCACCTACACCGCGAACTTAACAGCCCCTTTACAGCTAACTGGCTACGTGGATGCGGACCATGCTGGTGATGCAGAAAGCAGGAGGTCCCGCACAGGCTTCATTTTCAAACTTGAGCCTGCAGGAACCATCTCCTGGAACTCACAGAAGCAGGAGCTCATCGCCCTCTCGTCAGCAGAAGCAGAGTTCATCGCAGCAAGCGCAGCAGTTCGCGAAGGACTCTACCTTACGGAGCTCCTATAGGAAAAGAAGACGGCGATGAACGGGTCCTTCAAGTTACTCTGCGACAATTAGAGCGCGATCAAAATCGCAAACAAACCGGGCTTCGTCAACCGCACGAAACACATCGCCCTGCGATACTTCTTCGTCAAAGACGAAATCGACAAGGGCAAGGTCCAGCTCACCTACTGCCCAACTGATGAGATGGCAGCTGATTTTCTGACGAAGAAACTGCCACGTCAAAAGTTTCAATACTGCTCGGACCTATGCGGAGTCATCCGAAAGAACCACGTGGCGCACCTCCAGGAATGAAGGGGAGTGTTGGAGTATGAAGGGAATCATACTTAACATTCTCGAAGGTGCAGCAATACCGCACCCTGAAATTAGCGACGCTTCAGAAGAGGCTGGGGAAATCTGAAATCGCTAATTCCCGCAAACCTGAAATTAGCGACGCTTTGTGGGCCTCCTTGGACTTGGAGGCTACGGACATCCGTGGAAAGCGCGAGTTTGTTAAAATGCAATACGATACACCTCTATCGACTCCTCTGGCAACTGAATCTGCCCCCATCGATTTCCTCCTCGCGTCCGTCTGCCGTCGCTGGCGGCGCGTCGCTCAAAACCACCTGCACCCGCACGTCTCGGAGCTTCTTCTCAGAGAAAACCTCGTCGCGTCCCTCCACGACCTAACCGTCGCCGTCGCGCGCTTCCCGAGCCTCACGCATCTCCATCTGTGCGACCTCGTTGTGGAAACCCTGAACGACGCGTTTTTCGCTCACCTCGCCTCGTCATGTTCCAAGCTGGCCATTCTCCACGTGGGAGGGGAAATAACGCCACGGATTCCTGGATTGAGCGACGAGCATCCAATCACAGACGCCGGGATGGATCTCTTCTTCCGCCGCTGCTCTCAGCTGCAGCAGCTTTCGCTCTACTGCCTCCGCGACGGTGCTGACTTCCCGCCGTCCTTCTTTCAACTCAAGCACCTACACACCCTCGCTCTCACGACCCCCGCAACCCTAGAGAATCCGGAATTCAGGAACCTAACCTCCCTCACCACCCTGCATCTAGCCTTCCCGGCGTTCCATCTGCAGCAGCTATCCACCCTCCTGGACCTCCCGATCGCGCACCTTTCTATCTTCGACAAGCACCGTAGTAGCGACCAGCCCGCAGCTCCTTTCAGCATCGCACTGCTGCCTTATCTGGAAACGCTCAAATTCACGAATTTCACCCCTCCATTCGACTTCATGTTTCCACAGGGATCACCCCCATGCGCTCGCCTGCAGCAGCTGCTTCTCACAGACTACCAGGAGCTTGAAGGCCCTCCCAACAACATTGGAGATCTGCTCCCATCCCTCCGCAAGCTAGTCATACATGGCTGCCCTAGCTTCACGGAACGGCCTGAAAGCTTCCCCTCTCTGACCCGTTTGGAGTTCTTGGTTATTTCCGATGCAAAGTTCCTGTTTGGGCTTCCTGACGACTTGGGTGATCTGGCGGCTCTCAAAACCCTCGTGCTCAAGTCGCTGCCTCTTGTTACCCTCCCTAGTTCCTTCTCCCAACTCACGTCCCTCAACGCTTTAGTCCTCGACAATTGCTACCAGCTTCGCCAACTTCCAGCTGGTTTCTGCCACCTCCCTGCTCTCAAGGCTCTCTACATTGAGTGCCTTCGCACTTTCACACTTCCACACGACATTGGGCTGCTCACCAGTCTTGCCACTCTTCGCTTCAACGGCTCCCGTCGCCAGCAGCCCCTCCCAGCCTCGTTGACCGCGTTGACTGCGTTGACCAGCCTTCAACTGCACGAGTGTGCAATACCCGAGCTTCCAGATGCGTTGGGAGAGCTCAGCAACCTGACAGAGTTGAGCGTACTGTGTTGCCCCATCAGCCGTCTTCCAGAGTCCATCACTCGTCTGATCCGTCTGGAACGCCTGGCAGTTGTTCTTTGCCCGCAGCTTGCATGGGTGCCCGGAAGGCTGGATAGCCTTGAGAGGCTGAAGCAGCTGCAGCTGACATATTGTGAAGGGCTGAGTCACCCTCCTGCCGTTCTGCCGCGCTCCCTCGAGCTCCTAAGTGTTCTATGGTCTGGGAAGCAGCCCACTGCACTGGCAGACGTGTCTGGGCTATCCCAGCTGAGGGAGCTGGAGCTGCATGTGGGTGGGGGAGGGCAAGGGCCAGGAGCAGCAAGCTGCCCTGCCAGCGACCTGCAGGTTGGCGAGTCCGAAAGCTCTCTCAGCAGGCTTGGCGCTGCAGGTCATTGTTGGAGCAGGGGTCTGTCTCGCCTGCACCGCTTGGCCCTGCACCTGGACAACGCTGCTGTAGAGCTCCCTTTCCCCTTGACCTTCCTCCCTTCCCTGCGCCGCCTGACCATCTCGGGACATGGCATCAGAAGGCTCCCGGAAAGCATTGGGGCAGCGTTTCCGCAGCTGCGGCAGCTGAAGCTGGAGCAGGTTTCATCGCTGGAGGAGGTGCCAGGCAGCATTGGGGAGCTCCAGCAACTCACAGCCCTGGAGATCCACGCACCCATGCTGGCGTCGCTCCCTGATACCATCGGTGCTCTGTCTCGCCTGCGCACACTCGATCTGTCAGAATGCCGAAACCTGCAGCAGCTGCCGGCTTCTCTCACGCGCCTCGCCTGCCTGCATGATTTGGACGCATCGTCCACCTCCATCTCCACGCTGCCTGCTGGTTTCGCGCACCTCACCAGGCTGAGGAGCCTTTCCCTGAAATACTGTCGGGAGCTGCAGGGTTTCCCAGAGGATTTCACTCAGCTGACAGCTCTGCGGTATCTGTTGTTAAGCGGTTGCCGTGACGACTGCCGTGACATGGCCTGGTTGAGGGCGCATGGCCTTGCAAAACTCCGTTGGCTGCTTGTGATGCTGTAGTAGTAGTGGCGTGGCATGCTGTCTCCTTTCTTACACGCAGATTGCATACCATGCTGGTCGGGTTTCGTGGACTACTGAATCTGCTTCACCATGGCTCGGTTGATTGTGGATTTAGAAAACTTGCCTTTGCTTTGTTGTTGTGATGGCATGGCATCGTCTCATTCTTAATGGAAAGCACAATCAAGCCCAGCAGAGCATGCTACGGTAGTACTAGGAACGGACAAGAAACATTACAAACTGCATGTTTCCCAAAAGGGGGATGGACCTAACCATGTGTAACACCATGGCAAGTCGACCCAGACGAAATCCCACCGACCAGTCCAGTCCAGTCCATCCATCAGCCCAGCGCCTTGAGCATCTCGAGAACCTCTGCTGCGGCGCCCGTCTCCTCGTCAAACATGTCAAACTCCACACTGCCACTACCGCCCTCCCCTTCGCCACTCGCAGCCGACACCTCCACCACATCCGCCTCCTCTGCCTCCACCACCTCCGCCACCGCCGCACCCCTCTTACTCTCCACCACCACCGCCCCTGCTCCCTTGCCCTCGCCCCCACCACCGTGGGCGCGGGGCGGGGCGCGTGAGGCAGCGGCGGGGCGGAGGGGGTCCTTGAAGTAGAGGATGGCGCGGTCCAGGGCGCGCACGCGCAGAGCCAGCGCTGCCAACGTGGAGCACGAGGCGGCGGCGGCCGGAGAGCACCAGAAGCGCCAGCCGAGGGCGAGGCGGTCGGCTCGTATGGCGAGCTCCAGCAGGATGCAGGCGTGCAGCAGCTGGGGGCAGGAGGGGGGAGGAGGGGTGGGGGAGGGTATGAGGTGAACGCGTGGGAAGTGGAGCAAGGCACTGGGAGGTATTGCTGCAGGGGAGTTAGCACTGCTGTTGAAGTGATGTTAATAAGGGAGGAGCTTTTGGAGGGAGGGCAAGGTGATTGAGGATCGGAGGAAGAAGGTGCACTGAACAGGCAAGCACTTTATTTGAAGCATGCGAAACTAGAGGAAAGTAATCAGGACTGAAGAATCGGAAATGCAAAAAGTGTGAATGAAATTCCTTCATGGATGCAAAATCCATGCGTGCTCTCGCATACCCCTGTTCATACATACACCGCAGCCATGGGGGAAGAGGGAGTGATGGTGAGTGTGGGGAGGTGCAATAAACCAAGGGAAGCAAGAACGGTAGGGACAGCAGGGGAACAGTGGCAGAAAGAGCATGAGGAATAGCACAAGCAAGAGGGGCAGCAGAGGCAAGAGGGGCAGCAGGCTCACGGTGCGCCAGTGCGTGGCGTGAGCTTGCTTGACCATGGCCCGCCATACACGGCGCCTGCCTGAGCGGCCTCTTGGGCCGTCCATGGCCTCCACGCCCGCCGCCGCCTCCACGTCCAGCAGCTCGCACTTCAACCCCGCCACCACCGCCTCCTCCCACTCGCCCTCTGCCCCGCCACAGCTCCCCTCCTCGCCTACACTCACAGCCACACCCCCTCCCCCACCCACGGCTCCCAGATGGCCTGGGGCAACGAGGGCAGGCAAGGGCAGCGAGGGCACTTGAAAACGGGGTGGTGCGGTCACAGGCGGGGAAGGCAGGATGGTGGATGCCTGCTGGCTGAGGGACACGTTGCGGATGAGGAGAGCGGTTGGGTGCGGTGGAGAGGTGCTGAGAGCGCGGGAGCTGCTGCTGCTGACGTCAGGTGTGGTGGTGGCATGGGGTGTGAGTGGCACGTGGTCCCAGGGGCTGGCCCAGGCAGGGTGCGGCATGGGGGAGGTCACATCCCCAGCCATGGCACCGGGTGTATCCACACACACACCATCCATGCCCGTCCCCTCCATGCCCGTCCCCTCCATGCCTGTGCCCTCCATGCGTGCAGCCCACACATCCACGTCGGTGCCAGGCGGCACAGCGAGAGTGGGTGGAGCAGTGGCAGGTGGAGGCGAGACGTCCTCTGGGAGGGGCTGCAGGGGCGGCAGCCCGCCACACAGTGCCTCCCACTCCTCCACGCCACTGCTGCCACTCCACTGCCATGCACCCCCACTGCCCCCACTGCCCCCACTGCCCCCACTGCCCCCACTGCCCGCATTACCGCCCTTCTCCATATTGCCACCTGTGGTCATGGCATTGGCAGCACCGGTGAAACCACGAACATCACGTGCACCAGCAGTGGCAGGCAGGGCAGCAGCAGGCACGGAGTGAATGAGTGCAGGCGAAGCCAGTGCGGCAGAGGCAGCAGCAGCACTGCCATCTGCCACTACCACACCTCCCCTGTCTTCTCCCACCACTGCTGCGTGCTCCCCCCTCCTCCCCCCCTCTCCACCCTCGATAGCCTCCCCTCCCCCTCCCGCCTTTCCACTCGTCCCCCTCCCTCTGTCCTCGCCATTCTTCCGCCTCTTCCCCACGCGGCTCTCCAGCAGCTGGCAGCCGCTCAGCAGCTCCTCTTCGCCGCCCCCCTCGGCCCGTAGTTGCCTCTTGTGTGCCACCACGTGCCCCTGCCCCGCTGTGCGGCACGCCCCCTCGCCCTGCTCACCGCCCACCACCCTCATGCCATCACCCAGCATCGCCATGCTCCTGCCCACCACTGCCTGCCCCACACAACCGCCGCCCGCCACACCTGGGGCTGTTGCTACTTCCGGGAATGGTGACGTGGCAGCTGTTGACGTGGCAGCTGGTGGAGTGACCACGATGTCGCACAGCTTGAGTGCGCCAGGTGGAAAGATGCCATCATCACAGTGATGCCTTGCAGCTGCATGAGCTGCCACGTCAGCAGGTGGCAGGTCAGTAGTGCTGGGGGGATCGAACACAGTCCCTGCATCTTGCTCCTCCTCCCCTGCAAACCTGTGCCACAGCCCCCCCTCCCTCTCCCCCTCTTCCATCACCCCGTCCCCACTCGTCTGCACCCTACCGCCCAACCCAAGCACTGCCCCTCCACCCATCATGTGCCCTCCCTTCCGCTCCTCCTCTCGCTCCCCCCTCACATCCCCCCCCTTCCTGCCTCTCCCCCCTCCCCGTCCGCCCCCCCTGCCCCCTTTAGCCCGCAGCCGGCAAGCCCGTTTGTGCCCTTCAAACTCCGCCTTGGCGCTGTAAGTCTCGTGGCAAATCACGCAGTGCCACCTGGCAGCCCACTGCAGCTCCAAGCACTCACACCGCCACACGCCCCTCCTCCCCGCATCGCCACCTGTCGCCCCCAGAGCGCCCTTGTGCGCCGCCCCTTTCTCCCTTCCTCTGCTCTTCGCCTTCTCTCCTCTGCCTCCCTCCTTTCCCCCATCCCCCTCCCCTCCCAATGGCTCCGCACCATCCATCTCCACCGCTCCGAACCGTTCTTCCAGAAAGGCCATAGCTCGCAGGGGGCGGAGGGTGCATGGGGCGGTGAGCGGCTCGGACGGTGGCTTAGTGGGTGACTTGGTGGGTGCTTCAAAAGTGTGGCGTGGGAGGGAGTGCAGGGGTGCCAGGGACGAGGGGGAGAGGGAGGAATGTGCAGGAGGTGGCTCTTGTGCATGCACGGGCCTGCCGGGCTGCTGCTCACATGCTGCTTCAACCACACGCCCGCACTGCTCATGGAGCACCTGCTGCACCCGGCTGTAAACCCGTGCCAGCTGGCTGCCAGGTGTTGCTGCTGCAGCCAATGATGAAAGGAGAGCATCCACATCAGCAGCAGCATAGGCAGACGCAACCGCTGTTTGACCCTGCGTGTCCCTTCCTTTCCCCGTGGCAGCACTGCTGTTGAGAAGTACACGACCCCGCCACACATACCAGCGCCACTCCCCCTGCTCGCCCTCTTCCCCAACCCGCTCACCCACTCCAACCCCGCCACCAGCAGCAGCGCTGGCAGAGGCGAGCAGGGCGGCCCCCAGAGGCACACGGCGGGAGCACGCAGCGTGGCGGCACGCCCCCCTGCATGCAGGCCACAGGCGGTGAGGGGGGTGGGAGTGGCGAGATGAGGCACATGAAGGCGGTTCGGGGAGGGGCGCGTGCGTGGGGGCGGAGGCACGGGCCCCATGAGGCCACCACACCAGCATCGCTGCTGCTGCTCCCCCTCTGCATGCTGCAGCACCAGCATCGTTGGCAGCACCAGCATCGTTGGCAGCACCAGCATCGTTGGCAGCACCAGCATCGTTGGCAGCACCAGCATCGTTGGCAGCGGCAAATTCATGACCTGCGCTTCCATCACTGCTCATAGTAACGACAAAGAACAGCCGTCCGATCTCATCCGATCCGACGAACACCACAGCTCCACCAGCGTCCTGCTTCTCTCCCTGCACGCCTCTCACCCGTGCCAGCCCAGCACTGGAGCACCACAGCTGCATGCGCCCTGTCCCCCCGTCTGCCACCACCTCCTGCCACTCCCCATCACTCTCCTCCTCACTCCTCCCATCACTCTCCTCCCCGCTCTCTTCCTCTGCCTCCTCTTCTTCCTCCTCTTCCGTATTATCCTCGCCCTGACCGTCCTCGCCCTGACCGTCCTCTCTCCCCACCTCCCCCTTGCCTTGCCCCTCACCGCACTCACCCCCATTCACCACACTCTTCTGAGTCCTCCTTCTCTTGCAGCCAGTCAACCGCTTCGTCCTTCCACCCCTCTTCTTCTCACTCCCTTTCACCTCCTCCACACTCTTCTCACTCTCGTCCCCATCCCCATCCCCATGCCCATGCACATACCCCTGCCCCCTATCCGCATGGGAGTCGCTCCCGCGAGCCATCAGCAGGCGCAGCTGCTGCTGCCAGTGGGGCGCGAGGGGGCGCCATGGGTGGGCACAGCGCGGAGAGCGACGGCGACTGGCGCCCCATGCCCATGCCATCAACGTGCCACGGGACGACTCCTCCCCCTCCTCCTGCTCTTGCTCCTGCTGCTGCTGCTGCTGCTGCTGCTGCTGGTTGTGGCAGAACCTCTGGTAGGCTGGTGTGCGAACCACGAGGCGACACAGGGTGTGGAGAAGCAGGATTCTCTGCAGTCAAACAAAGGTCAAAGGGGGGCGTCAACAACGGTCAATGGGACTCACAATCCGTCAATGGAAGGCATAAGCAGTCAGCGGAAGGCATAAGCAGTCAATGGAAGGCATAAGCAGTCAACGGAAGGCATAAGCAGAAAACAGAAGGCATAAGCAGAAAACGGAAGGCATGAGCAGAAAACGGAAGGCATGAGCAGAAAACGGACGGCATGAGCAGAAAACGGAAGGCATGAGCAGAAAACGGAAGGCATGAGCAGAAAACGGAAGGCATGAGCAGACATAACCAGTCAAGGGAAGTGGGCAGACAGAATCATACCAGCAGATCACTTCCGAAATAAAAAATGAGCCGACCGTGTATGAATAACTCAGGAACACTGCGACACGTGAGAAGCCCCCGTCACGTGCATGACACACTCAACTCAACTCAACCAGCAAGCCACGTGGCAGCAAGAACATTCGACCAGCCACACCAGGCCGCAGCACTCACAAGGCTGGTGGTCATGCGGCACTCACAAGGCTGGTGGTCATGCGGTGGTAGTCGCAGCTCCTAAGATGCCTCACCAACACATACATCGCACTCTCCTCCCACTCCCCCTCCTCCCCACACCCCAACGCCCCCTCTCTCCCCACTCCCTCCTCCCCTACTGCAACGCCCCTGGCCTCCTCCTCCTCTTCTCCCTCCTCTTCTCCCTCCTCTTCTCCCTCCTCTTCTCCCTCCTCTTCTCCTTCCCCCCTTTCCTCCTCGTCTTCCTCCTCCCCCTCCTCCTCCTCCTCCTCTCCCCAGCCCATGGCCCGCGCGCTACCCCCCTGCACGCAGAGAGGGCAGTACCAGTTGCCGCGGGGCACGCGGGCGAGGGGCGGCACGAGGCAGTAGAGGTGGAACTCGCGGTCGCAGCCGTCGCACAGCAGCACGGCGCGCTCGTCCACGTCCACCCCGCACACCAGGCACCCCTCCCGCTCCCACGGCGCCACCCCCACTGCTCCCTCCCCCTCTGCCCCATCCTCCCGCCCCCTTCCCCCGGCCTTGTCTGGTCCGGGCGTTGGCAGGCGCGGGGGCAGCATGGGAGCCGTGGCGAACAGACCCTGCGCGGGAGATGATGGGGCCATGGGTGCCGGGCAGAGGCGGGGAGGTCGGAAAGGGGACGGGTGTGAAGCGGTGAGGAGTTGAGTGCGCAGTGATTGGGGGGTGTAGGAGCATTGAAGGAGGGAATGGCTAGAGCTAAGGGGGAAAGGAGAAAGGGGAAGGGAGAACGGAGTTGGGAAGAAAGCAGGGGACACAAGTGACGATGGGATATGGTGGTGCGATACGACACGACGCACGGGCGGCAAGGGGATGGAGGAGCAGGTGGTGGGATGGGAGCACCCCACATGGCATCTCATCTCATCTCATCTCATCTCATCTCATCTCATCTCATCTCATCTCATCTCATCTCATCTCATCTCATCTCATCTCATCTCATCTCATCTCATCTCATCTCATCTCATCTCATCTCATCTCATCTCATCTCATCTCATCTCATCTCATCTCATCTCATCTCATCTCATCTCATCTCATCTCATCTCATCTCATCTCATCTCATCTCATCTCATCTCATCTCATCTCATCTCATCTCATCTCATCTCAGCGCACCAACCCCCTCTCCCCCGCCCAACCCATATGGCAGCGGACGCCCACCTGGGAGGCGAGCAGCCGACCTGGGAGGCGAGCAGCTTGTCGAAGAGCGGCGCGAGGTGCAGCATGGAGAGGAAGATGGGGTGCGGCTTCTTGTAGCCCACCCGCACGTTCATCCACATCTGCCGGGGGGCCATGGCACATGGCAGCGCACACAGGAAAATTGGAGGAAGGAAGAGAGAGTGACACCTTCACTCATCTCTACTGAATGATGCAGCTTCACTCATCTCTACTGAATGATGCAGCTTCACTCATCTCTACTGAATGATGCAGCTTCACTCATCTCTACTGAATGATGCAGCTTCACTCATCTCTACTGAATGATGCAGCTTCACTCATCTCTACTGAATGATGCAGCTTCACTCATCTCTACTGAATGATGCAGCTTCACTCATCTCTACTGAATGATGCAGCTTCACTCATCTCTACTGAATGATGCAGCTTCACTCATCTCTACTGAATGATGCAGCTTCACTCATCTCTACTGAATGATGCAGCTTCACTCATCTCTACTGAATGATGCAGCTTCACTCATCTCTACTGAATGATGCAGCTTCACTCATCTCTACTGAATGATGCAGCTTCACTCATCTCTACTGAATGATGCAGCTTCACTCATCTCTACTGAATGATGCAGCTTCACTCATCTCTACTGAATGATGCAGCTTCACTCATCTCTACTGAATGATGCAGCTTCACTCATCTCTACTGAATGATGCTCAAGTGATTTGAATGCTCCTGTTTGACGTCAGCAGTGAAGCACCTGTTTGACGTCAGCAATGAAGCCCTCCGCCGACTGGCCATAGGCGCCCATCACCACGCGCGCATCGATGCTGCGCAGGTCAACGGGCCGCGCCACTGCATGCCGCGGCGCCCACCCCGCCCTTCGCACTTCCCACCCCACTGCACCCCCCACCGTCGCCTCTGCCAGGGCTGCCCCTCGTGTGCCGTCACTCGCTCTCATGTTCACGGCCCCTGTGAGCGCCACCCGCGCCCCCCCATGCTCGTGCTGTGCCGCTGCCAACCCCTTCCCCACCACCCCTCTCACGCCCTTCCCAGCCCCCGCCTCGTTGCCCACATGCCCTGCACTGCTGCCCACCCTCCCTCTGCCCTCCCCTGCCCCCCCTGCCCATTCCCCTCCTGCATCGTGCCCCCCCTCGCCCGCGTGCCCCACGGGCCCCACGCCCCAGAAGTAGGTGAAGGCGCGCAGGTGGTCGGCGAGGGCCAGCTGCCACAGCACCGCGCGGCACTGCTGCATCAGCGGGGACAGTAAAGGGCCCACAGGCGCCGCTGCTCCCCCCCCCATGCCGCTGCGCCCTGCCAGCCCTGCTGCCGCCCCCGAGTCTGGTGCTAGTTTTGCAGCAGCGGGCTGACTCCCGCCTCCCTTCCCTGTGTGGCACTTGCCATGTGGTCGGGAGGCCCCATCATCGCCACTCTCTGCCCCACCTCTCCCCACAGCCGTCCCACCATCCTTCTCTCTCGCCCTGCCCTTGCTGTCAGCAGCACCATCCCCCCTTATTGCTCCTCCTCCTGCATCTCTCTCCACCTTGGGCGCACTCCACGCAGCAGCAGTGGCACGAGTGGAAGGAGATGGGGGGGCAGCGGGCGGGGCGGCAGCAGCAGCAGCAGCAGCAGCAGCAGCAGCAGCAGCAGCGGCAGCGGCAGCGGCAGCGGCAGCGGCAGCGGCAGCGGAGGGCTGGTGTGCGAGGAATTTGTCCATCACCTCGATGGCCGCTCGCTGCCAGGGGGATGCCGGGGAATTGGGGGGCAGGGGGGGCAAGGGGGTCATGGGGGAGGATTGAGAAGAAGAGGTGAAGACAAAAGGGTCAAGTGAAGGAAAACAGTCGGCCTTGCCTTGCGTGGTTTGTGTGGCAAACCTACGAGAAGTGGACGCAGGAGGCAAGCAAAGCCGGTGCAAATTGCAAATAATGAATAACTGAAAAGACGGATAGAGAACAAAGGCAGACTGAAATGTGTGAGTCACATTGACAGCCACCTTAGTCGGCTTTAACTAACCAGATTTGGGTTTGACTCACCTTAATGGGCATTAACTCACCTTAGTGGGCTTTAACTCACCTTAGTGGGCTTTAACTCACCTTAGTGGGCTTTAACTCACCTTAGTGGGCTTTAACTCACCTTAGTGGGCTTTAACTCACCTTAGTGGGCTTTAACTCACCTTAGTGGGCTTTAACTCACCTTAGTGGGCGTTACCTTAGTAGGCTTTAACTCACCCTAGTGGGCTTTAACTCACCTTGGTGGGTTTTAACTCACCTTGGTGGGCTTTAACTCACCTTGGTGGGCTTCAACTCACCTTAGTGGGCTTCAACTCACCATAGTGGGCTTTAAATCACCTTAGTGGGCTTTAACTCACCTTAGTGGGCTTTAACTCACCTTAGTGGGCGTTAACTCACCTTAGTAGGCTTTAACTCACCTTAGTGGGCTTTAACTCACCTTATTGGGTTTTAACTCACCTTGGTGGGCTTTAACTCACCTTGGTGGGCTTCAACTCACCTTAGAGGGCTTCAACTCACCATAGTGGGCTTTAACTCACCTTAGTGGGCTTTAACTCACCTTAGTGGGCTTTAACTCACCTTAGTGGGCGTTAACTCACCTTAGTAGGCTTTAACTCACCTTAGTGGGCTTTAACTCACCTTATTGGGTTTTAACTCACCTTGGTGGGCTTTAACTCACCTTGGTGGGCTTCAACTCACCTTAGAGGGCTTCAACTCACCATAGTGGGCTTTAACTCACCTTAGTGGGCTTTAACTCACCTTAGTGGGCTTTAACTCACCTTAGTGGGCGTTAACTCACCTTAGTAGGCTTTAACTCACCTTAGTGGACTTTAACTCACCTTGGTGGGTTTTAACTCACCTTGGTGGGCTTTAACTCACCTTGGTGGGCTTCAACTCACCTTAGTGGGCTTCAACTCACCATAGTGGGCTTTAACTCACCTTAGTAGGCTTTAACTCACCTTAGTGGGCTTTAACTCACCTTAGTGGGCTTTAACTCACCTTAGTGGGCTTTAACTCACCTTAGTGGGCTTTAACTCACCTTAGTGGGCGTTAACTCACCTTAGTGGGCGTTAACTCACCTTAGTAGGCCTTAACTCACCTTAGTGGGCTTTAACTCACCTTAGTGGGCTTTAACTCACCTTAGTGGGCTTTAACTCTCTTTAGTGGGCTTTAACTCACCATAACGGGCTTTAACTCACCTTAGTGGGCCCTGACGCGTTCCCCTTGTACACCTCCTTGCTGATTGCCCACTGCAGCCGCTCCACCGCCCAATCGGGCGGCGCCACGTGGCAGTCGAGGGCGGCGCGGATGCAGTTGCGGATGCGCGCGCCGACGTTGGTCTGCATCTTGCGGATGGGCTCCAGCAGCAGCACCCACTGGGGGGGCGATGCACGGGCGCCTGCCGGGGGCATGCATGCATGGCATAGCACAAGCCAGGGGGGAGCATGGTTGGGAATGGGATGAGAGAGCCAGTACAGAGATGGCTGCCCTGCACACCACACATCAACAATTCTGTGCAACCATCCCCATGCATCCATCCCCATGAAACCATCCCCACGCATCCATCCCCATGCATCCATCCCCATGCATCCATCCCCATGCATCCATCCCCATGCATCCATCCCCATGCATCCATCCCCATGCAGCCATCCCCATGCATCCATCCCCATGCATTCATCCGCATGCATCCATCCCCATGCATCCATCACCATGCATCCATACCCATGCATCCATCCCCATGCATCCATCCCCATGCAACCATCCCCATGCATCCATCCCCATGCAACCATCACCATGCATCCATCCCCATGCAGCCATCCCCATGCATCCATCCCCATGCATCCATCCCCATGCATCCATCCCCATGCATCCATCCCCATGCATCCATCCCCATGCAGCCATCCCCATGCATCCATCCCCATGCATTCATCCGCATGCATCCATCCCCATGCATCCATCACCATGCATCCATACCCATGCATCCATCCCCATGCATCCATCCCCATGCAACCATCCCCATGCATCCATCCCCATGCAACCATCACCATGCATCCATCCCCATGCAGCCATCCCCATGCATCCATCCCCATGCATCCATCCCCATGCATCCATCCCCATGCATCCGTCACCATGCATCCATCCCCATGCATCCATCCCCATGCATCCATCCCCATGCAACCATCCCCATGCATCCATCCCCATGCAGCCATCCCCATGCATCCATCCCCATGCATCCATCCCCATGCAGCCATCCCCATGCAACCATCCCCATGCATCCATCCCCATGCAGCCATCCCCATGCATCCATCCCCATGCATCCATCCCCATGCAGCCATCCCCTTGCATCCATCCCCATGCATCCATCCCCATGAAACCATCCCCACGCATCCATCCCCATGCATCCATCCCCATGCATCCATCCCCATGCATCCATCACCATGCATCTGTTAGAATTGTACTTCTGTTGTAACCTGCAGTTATGCTATAAAGATCGGGTAGAGATAAGCACCCAACTTTAGGTTGGGTGTATATTTAGGGTTAACCCTCAGTTGGGGTTGAGGCCCAACCTTTGGCCCGAATTATTGGCCCCCAAAGGTTGGGTTGGGAACATTATTGGTCCCCCCCTCCAATAATGTTGACCAACTCAAGCATGGTCAACATTATTGGGTGGACTTCAATAATGTTGGCCACCTCCCCCCCTCTCTTCTCCAACTATGAAAACCCTAGACTTTCCTAGTGCAATCATCCTTTTCTCTTCAAACTTTATTTCCTACATGGTATAGAGCTCCCCAAAAGATCCTAAGTCCCTTTTTAAGGGCCCACCCTGCCGTCGCAACCCCCGGCCTCCATCCCTCCCCCAGTTTTTTTTCTCCGCCGCCGCGACCGTCGTCGCAGCCGCAGCCCCGGTTGCTGCCGCCGCCCGCGCCCTCCCCTCCGCGGCCCCCGCTCGCCGCGTCCCGCACCATCCGCGCCCTCTCCTCCACGGCCCCTGGTCGCAACGTCCCGCGCCGTCGCCGCCGCGGCCTCGCCGACCGCCGCCGCACGCGCCCTCCCATCCGCGGCCCCTGCTCGCCGCGTCCCGCGCCATCCGCGCCCTCTCCTCCGCGGCCCCTGGCCTGCCGCCTCCCGCGCCGTCGCCGTAGCAGTCTCGACTGCTGCCGCCGCACGCGCCCTTCCCTCCGCGGCCCCTACTCGCCGCGTACAGCACCGACACCGCCGCGGCCCGCACCACCGCAGCCGTCCGCACCTCCCCCCTTCTGCGGCCCCAGTTCCCTGCGTCCCGCGCTGACGCCGCCGCGGCCAGCGCCACCGCTGCCGTCCACGCCTTTCCCCTCCGCGGCCCTAGTTCGCCGCGTCCCGCGCCGCCGCCGCCGCGGCCAGCGCCACCGCCGCCGTCTGCGCCTTCCCCCTCCGCAGCCCCAGATCGCCGCATCCCGCGCCGAAGCTGCTGCGGCCCACGCCATCGCCGCCGTCCGCGCCTTCCCGCTCCGCGGCCCCAGTTCGCCGCGTCCCGCGCCGACGCCGCCGCGGCCAGCGCCACCGCAGCCGTCCGCACCCTCCCCCTCCGCGACCTTCGCCGCATTCCGCGCCGACGATGCCGCGACCCGCGCCACCGCCGCCGTCCGCGTTTTCTACTCTCCAACCCCTGGTTACTGCCCCCCCCGCCGACGCCGCCGCCGTCCGCGTCGCCGCCACCGCCCGCGCTCACCTCTTGACCGCTACGGGTCCACCCGTGGTCGTCACCCATGGCTACCCCCCCGCCTCCTCCTTCCCCCCTCCCTCCCCCTATCGACGTATCGTTCGTAGACAAGCTCCGGTTAGCCGCGGACAAGTCCGCCGTCAACTGGCACTCCTTCGTGGGGAGCATCCGTCACGTCCTCAAGGATGTATGGGTTCCTCCTTACTGCGTTCTTGATGTCCTCCTTCGCCGCCCGAATGCTTTCCCCCCCACTACACTCGACCACCCCGGCGAGACTCCGCTCCTTCCCCCCCCTCCCGGTACTCCTCCTCCTAAACCCGAGCTCCAAATCGCCACCACTTCTGAGCTCCAAGCCACCGCCGATGCCGCCTTCCTCCTCAGCCGCCGCGAATACCTCATACGCAAGGCCGACTATGACGCCGCAGCCGAAAACTACGCCCAGGCCGTTGCCGGACGCGACGCTCATCTCGCGGTCATTGCCAAGTACAACGAAGACATGGCAGCATACACTCCCAAACTCATGGTCCGCCGCCGACAACCGTGCCTATACTGTCCTCCTTGAGGCCCTTCCCGACACCCTCATGCGTCGCTTCCAGGCTCGGGAACTTCGCGCTTCCGTTATCTGGACGGAACTGCATGCGATGTTCGAGCGCGGCGATATTAGCTCTGTCGGCATCCTCTTCCAGGAGTATTTTTCCATCACATTCGCCATTTGTGATGGTGCCGTCGATTATGTGGGGCGTATGCGGGAGGTAGCCGATCGTCTCGAAGCCCGCCAGGCCGGCCTTTCTGAACCTCTGAAAATCCACCGAACTATGAATCCCGCCTTCAAGCCTTTACCGAAGCCAACCCCATGGCCGACCTCAGCTCCGTCGAACAATGGATTATCGACATTGAGGTCAAACTTCGCACCCCGTCGTCAACCTCGCCGCCACTTTGCCCTCCTCCTCCTCCCTCAACGCCACACAGTCGCGCTAGCAAAGCAACCGCAACGGCAAAGGAGGAGGTGGGGGCAAAGGAGGCAGCGGTCGTGGTGAGGGCAACAGTAGCGGAAGCAGCCGTGGAAGTGCAGGTGGTGAAGAGCATAGCACCCCCACCACCAATTCTGGTGGCTCCTCCTCTGCAAGGCGTGGAAGTCGTCCGGGTACTCTTCCACCCAGCACCTACATTCGTCGTCATGGTCCTCGTGCGGGCACACCTTGTGGTCAAACCACTCACCCCCGTACTACCTGTTTCAAGGCCCTTGATGACGCATGGTTTGAGCGAGGCAACGTCGGCACCCCTCCCCGCTGGGGCACCACTACCCCACGCCCTTCTCTCACCGATATTCAGACCAAACCTGCCTACCTGCCCGCTCACCTCCGCCTCCTTGCCCCCCCCCAGCAATTCCTCAACCTCCAGCAACAGCATCTCATGCAGCAGCAGCAGCACCACCACCACCTGTGGGGACCTGGACCACAGCCGCAGTGAGGACCTGGAGCCGCTCCTTGGCAGCAGCAGCAGCTGAACTTTGGAACAGCTGCCACAGCCGCTCAGACCTCCCTTGCCCCCCTCTAGGGAGCCCTGCCTCCTCCTGGTAGTGTTGCTACCCCCCCTTATGCAGGAGAGCTTCCTTCGCAATATTGCTGTCACCCCGTCTTTTCCTTCCATGTACCCATCCACCATTAATAAAACCACCTTTCAGTACTTTGTGTCTTCCTCCTCCTCCTCCCCCACGCTGGACTTCGTCCGTGACAGTGGGACAACTGAGACCGCATTCAAAGACACCGGTGCCCTCACACTCCTTCCTCTTCCCACTCAGGTACACGGTGCAAACGCCAGTTTCTCCATCCCCTGTACCCACCTGTCCACTCTCCCCTTCCCAAATTTTCCCTCTGGCAAGGTAACTGGTCTCCACATCCCCACCCTCCGCAACAACCTCCTCTCCCACCGTGAGCTTCAAAGTGCAGGTATCACTGCCGTCTACCCAGGTAACACTAGAGTTGAGCATGTGGCCCGACCCGACCCGACCCGACCCGATTTAGCCGGGCCATGCGGGCCCTCGGGTCGGGTCGGGTCGGGCCGACCTCGGGCCAGATTCCCGAAACAGCTGGCCCGACTCGGGCCTTCTGACTCGGGTCAAAGGTGACCCGAGTTCGGGTCGGGCCGGGTCGGGCCAGGAAGGCCCGCCCCTTTAGGGGGGAGGGTGGGGGTGCCCTTCATGACTTGTACATTTCTTCTGTTAGTCTTGTTATTACTATACTTTGGTAACACAAGTTTCTCTTCCACCTGAAGGTGTGATGGTTTCGTAATCTGTCCAACACTTGCTATGACATGTAAAATAGTCTAGGGGTATCCAAACAGTAGAGACATCACGAAACAACAGTGCGATTGGGTTTCCCATAGGGTCCGCCCCAACAAGTGCAATAAGTTCATGCAACCTATAAATATGTCTGCTAATAAAATCCCCAAAGCAGGATATGTCAATGCAAGCTTCCGAACGTAAGAGGGGGTCGCTAATAAATATGAAGGTGCAACACCACCACAATCACAACGAGAAAAGACCCCGCAGCAACTCATGGTGGGGAACCGGCTCTCACAACCCTCGGGTGGGTTTACCTAGGTACGGTGGTAGTTTAATGACCCTAAACTACTACTCTAACTAAGTCGACTAGCTGCTGGCTGGCTTAGCGAAATGTAAATCGACGGGGAAGAAATCC